GACTTGATTGGTTCGATCGTTTGCATCTGGCTGATGTCCCACTAAATTCTTTATGCAATGCAGCTAAGAAACATAAAATGTCAGACAATTCCGGACGAAGCCGAAGCCGCAAACCCAACAGGCAGACGAAGCGACAGACGTCAACAACAAGCTCAACGGTTCCAGATAAAACCCCAAGAAAACACCCTACTAATCATCAATCTTCTCAAAAGGGGAGGTGATATGTATCCACATAATATGTGTGTGTTTGTGTTTGACAGTCTGTTATATTTTCCTATGTATATATGAATCGATATTCCATTATAATTGACAATATGTTTTTGTCTGTTCACTAACTAAATAAATATGTCTGACCTTGTTGTCACACATGACATTACAACCAATCATGTTAAGACTGTCTATTGATTCGTTCATTTTTGAACATTCGCTAATACACGTGTGTGACATTGATTTTCCTGGTTGTTTGAAAAGAAAAAATAGAAGTATCATCGTGAACCTGGTGGTTTTCTGATTTCCGCCTCTTCTTGCGCCAGGACTATTAATTACTCGATCAGTACATAACAGAAGCACTGATTATCCGTTCACCTCTTCTTTTCCTCAATCAAAAAGACAAGATGATTTAGTTTCGTGAACAATCAATCAACTAAGTCTTAAAGTTATTTATCAAACTGCTTTTTGTTATAAATGTGTAATATTAGGTTTCAAAACAATCAGTTGTACATCCATCATACAATAATAATTCTATGACATAATGAAGATTAGTCTACAGTTATTCAAATGTTATTCAAATTCTTATACATAGGAATACAGGAGTACGATAGGGCTGCTTACTGTCACCAACAATGATATATTCTTAGTTGTGAAGGATTAGATCAAGTGTCAGACTGTGCTTTGGAGTGAGAAGAAAGGAATACGCTGGACGACCAAAAGGCAGACTCTAGAAGACCTGGATTTCGCAGATGATAATGTCCAATTTAGAAAGAAGGGAACACGAAGTTCAACAAAGATGGCGAACTTTTCGGCGATTTCATTCTCAAAAGCTGTACAATCGCATTTATATAGAATATTTTACATGGATACAATTATTAATTGTTTAATTTCACATAGTAACGAAGGTGGTCAACACCTCCCACAACGTCTCAACCGATTCTTTCAGAGTGATTTACAAAGTCAACAGAAACCTACCAAGAGCAGTATGTTTTCGACTTATTTGTACTGCAGATGCCCTCGCAATATGCATTGAGAAGCCGAAGCTTTGTATTCAAAAGAAATTAGTCCAACCTCTACAACTACCATGAACCTAGCTGGGTATGTTCCCTTTGCTTCCGTCTTTTCTCTACTCCTCGTCTGTTTTCGTTCTCGCTTTTCACTTTAGAGCATTTTTTGTTCGCTGTGTGTCTGATTCTTAGTCTCTCAGTCTTCATTAGATCCACCTAATTCTTTTTTTTCAGCTATAAAAACAGCTATTTTAATTTTGTTTCCATGCTCCTCCTGATCACACTTGTAATCTGTTTAGAATAACCATTTTATAATTATATTCTAATCCTGTGTGTAATTTTTTGTTACTATGCCTCTTGTAATCTATAGTCACACACACACCTCCTAACTAACATTTCAAGTTGAAAATTTTGATTTCAATTTGTTTCCATGCTAATTTTCGTTCACACCTGTAGCTCGTTCTATGCCTGCGTTTCTAAGCCTCTTGTAATTCATATCAAGTCGAAAATAATTATCACCTTTGATTCGCCTTTACACTTATTATTTCTCCAGTTATCAAATATTAGTTGTTTTTTTTTGCATACGTTGTAACTATTTTCTAATCCTATGAAATCTTATCTCTAAGCCCCTTGTAATCTATAATCTACATTCGTACCTTCAAACTATCATATCAAGTTGAAAATTATTATCACCTTCGTTACTATGTGGAATTAATGAAACAAATAATAATAATAATTGTATCCATGTAAAATAATCTATATGAATAAATGCGATTGTACATCTGCTTTTGAGAATGTAATCGCCGAAAAGACAAATATCTTTGTCAAAAAATTGGTTCACATTCCATACTCTCTCTCTCTTTGTTTCTATTTCCATCATATGATATTTACCATTTGTCATTTAGAAAGCGAATCTTTTTTTGCGCTGTTGGTGGTGGTGGTTTTATGATGACATCACCAACACCAACAACAACATTGAATTATTTTTATTTTTATAGTATTGGTTTATTTCTAGGGTCTCTGTTTTTGATTTAATTGGTTGGAGTATTTCATCATGAGCACTGACATAGGTTGGTTAGAGAACCAATGGAAAACCAGCCACTTGGAGTACTGCTAGAAAGCAGTCTCGTTGATTTAGTTTAGGATTTTGCTTCATCAGTGCGCACCCATCCCACAGATGGAGTTGGAACCAGTACCACCTTTTGGTTACAAAGCGAGCGAACTACCTCATAGACCATTAATCAGTCAGTCATTCACTGAGACCCGATCCAATAGACAGCCGGCCAGCCAGCCAGTTCATGTATTCTAACTTCTACCAATCCAAGAAATAGACTAATGTTGTACATATATTCGAATGTACAGCTGCTTTTGAGAATGTAATCGCCGAAAAGATCGCCATCTTTGTTGAACTTCGTGTTCTCTTCTTTATAATGTCCAATTTCACACGAAATTCAAAGAATTATACGGGGAAAACCAACAAACTGGCTAAAAAGGCTTTCTGGGGGGGGGGGTCGAATACAGGACTCCAGGTGAACATAGATAAGACGAAGGTGATGAAGATAAGCAACCACAACCACCACCACCAATAGCGACAATCACAACCAGCACCAATCACCATCAACGGGAGAGGTTACTTCCTTCAGTTATCTCGGAAGCATCGGCATGGACGATGATGATAATGACGATGTCAAAATCACCTTCATCAAGCTGAAATCAGTTTGAAAAATCTTTTGCTTCACTTCGCCTCAGTATGAGGAACACCATTGGGATTTCCAACATCAATGTGAAGTCAGTTAGTGCTTGTATACGAATCAGAAAGTTGACCAGTGTGTGTGTGTCAAGAAAAGTGTTCCCATTGATTTGCCGACAGCTGCCATTTTCGCTCCATAATGAAGATCAAATGTAAAACAAGCAATAAAGGTGGTTAATAAAGCAGGATGATATAATGAATTCATCAAATTTCGGTAGAACTCGTCAACTGAATGCTTTGCATACACGGGTATATATACTTTTGAAATTACATTGGGAGATATAAGACTGATAAGTAAACAAACTACGTTGAATTAGTCATGCAGAAAGACGACAGGTGCGAATGTTTTACAGGTCATGTTCAATTAGATAAGGCGAGAGTGAGGGAGTATGGGAGATCAAAATTAAGATGAATTGCATTACGCTTCAATTACATCATTTAGATAAACAATTAGTCATTAGGGAATATAACGAGAATTGCAAACAGACTAATATCAATAGTAATAGTTATAATAACAATAATAATATTGTTGAAGTGAGTTAAGATAATCTTGGTGATAAAGCATAGATTTAAATGAATCAAGAATAGTAATAATAATGATAATAATAATAACAACAATAGTAGGAAGAAGAGGTAGAATAATAGTAATAACAAGTAGAGAATAATAAGTAAAACGTATTACCATGGTAGATTCAGAGTGACGACCATCTCCTTTTGCTGCAAAACTTGTTATCCATAACACCACCAAGCGAGTGCTTCGACAATCTGGGAAAGACCAGTCGCCAATCCTCGACACTTCAAACTGCGTATATCAATTTGAGTGTGTTTGTGGCAGCAAATACATAGGTCGTACGGAAAGGCGATTGTCTACTCGCATGATGGAGCATTTGCCAAAATGGTTGAAAACAGCTGAGTGCAAAGTCCCAAAATCCTCAATAACAAAACATCTCGTGGATTACGGACATGATATTGACGCGGTCAAGTCATTTACCATTGTCAGCAGACAAACAAAGAAACAAGAAGATGCTTGCAATTCCGGAGGAGGCTTGTGCAATTCAAATTTATAAACCAGCCCTCTGTATACAAAAGGAGATGGTATTGACTCTGAATCTACCATGGTAATACGTTTTACTTATTATTCTCTACTTGTTATTACTATTATTCTACCTCTTCTTCCTACTATTGTTGTTATTATTATTATCATTATTATTACTATTCTTGATTCATTTAAATCTATGCTTTATCACCAAGATTATCTTAACTCACTTCAACAATATTATTATTGTTATTATAACTATTACTATTGATATTAGTCTGTTTGCAATCCTCGTTATATTCCCTAATGACTAATTGTTTATCTAAGTGGTGTGTAATTGAAGCGTAATGCAATTCATCTTAATTTTGATCTCCCATACTCCCTCACTCTCGCCTTATCTAATTGAACATGACCTGTAAAACATTCGCACCTGTCGTCTTTCTGCATGACTAATTCAACGTAGTTTGTTTACTTATCAGTCTTATATCTCCCAATGTAATTTCAAAAGTATATATACCCGTGTATGCAAAGCATTCAGTTGACGAGTTCTACCGAAATTTGATGAATTCATTATATCATCCTGCTTTATTAACCACCTTTATTGCTTGTTTTAAATTCGTATCGGGAAATGAATATTTTCAATTCTTGAAGATCAAATGGCCTGACAGAAAGAATAAGTAACAAGAAATTCTAACTATGAACGAATCCATCAAGAGCCGACTGCTCAACAAATATGTAGGAGAAAATGGAGATGAATTGATCGGGCGAATTTGGAAGAAGATTGGCCGTTGAATAACTATGCCTTCATTGGAAGCCATCACTCGAGTGTAAAATGATGAATGGGATTCAACGGGAGAGTGATACGGATCAGGAGATGAGAAATTCTGAGCAGTCTTGGCGTCAACCAGCTGAATAGGGGGAGCAGAAAGTCGAACAAAACGGAGATGTGTTGTTAAAGCGAGCCCCATCTTCCTATTTGAGATCCAAAGAAACTTACCTCAAATCGTGTGTAGATCCTTTCATTGAGCCAACTGTCAATCGTCTAGATCTTTCTGTATGTGGTAATTCAACAACAGATTGGCTCCAGTGGACATCTCGTACAACCGCTGGTGCACTTGTTCTCATCCCATCCACTATACACCATGCTATCTAAAGTGTGTGGAAAAGTTGAATAAATAAAAATGAAAAACAGCAGTAGTATCACAGAGAATAATGATTTGTTCACTGATGGTAGAGAGTGACTAGCAGTGGATTCGGCCATCAAACAAACACTTTAGACAAATGCTGAAAGGTGCAGACAGCGCTTACTGTCATTACGAATGATAAAGCTATTATGAAAGCCTCCTTGTCAGATAAACAAGTCATAACTATTCGCCTCATGAGCGACGACATCTTGAATTTATATCCCAGATAACGTCAAAGACTTTACAAGTGAAGGGTAGTGACAATGAAGTTCCAGACGCTCTGTCAAGTGTATGCACATTGACAAAATTGTATGTCTCCCGACACATCGAATAGGAACATCGCGTAACCGTAGAGAAGAAGAAGAATAATGGTGAACTAAAGAAGACTATGTCTTCTAAAACGACATCTACATGTAGATGTCTGCCTGTTTTTTTTCCAGCAGCTATAAGATAGATGAATAATTTTCCAGAAAGTGGATAATCTCTCACATCCTCGAGTCATTGCTATTACCCAAGCTGCTGAAGAGAAGAATTATACAGTCAAGCAGAAACAGTAATCCTATGTGGTGGAGGATCTGGGTTTCGCCGATGACACATATATATCTGATTTCCCACAAACTGGAAGATATGCAAGTGAAAAGCAGCAAGTTGCCAGAAGAAGCATCAAAAATAGGAAGGACTTCAGGTGAACATAGATAAAACAGAGGTAGGTGATGAAGATTCCTGACCAACACCACCAACAGCAACAACAACAACATACAACAATTAGCCTGCATAAATAGGAGGAACCTGAAGGAAACAGCCTCCTTCACCTACCTAACTGGGAAGCATCGTTTCAACTACAGGCGGAACTGATGAGGATATTAAAGCTAGAATCGGAAAAGCAACACAAGCTTTCATTACTCTTAAGTCTGTGTGGAAGTCAACAGCACTCACCATCAAAAATAACATCCGGATTTTCAACTCCAATGTAAAGCCAGTCAATGCTTCCATACGGATCAGAGACTTGGCCAGCGCGTCATAAAGGGCATCTCAAACAAACTTCAGACCTTCATTAACAGCTGTCTTTGCTCAATACTCAAGATCAGATGGCCGGCCGGCCAGAAAAGATCAGCGAACCAACCCAGCAGGAACCGATTGTGAAACAAATAGGCAGGAAGAAATGGAGATGGAATGGCTGGCCATACTCTGAGGAAACCATCAAGTGACATCACTAGACAAGTTATCGCTCGGGTGGAACCCGAAAGGGAAGCAGCGAGTTGGTCGTCAGCGTGAGGGTGACTTGGAGGAGGTCATGTGAAGAGGAGGAGATGAAAGCATGTGGACAGACCTGGAGCGGGGTGAAAAAGTTGGCAGAAATCAGAAGGCAATGGAGGTGCGCAGCTGAAGCCCTATGTTCCTCCAGGAATTAAAAGATATAATAATATAATAATAATAATGCAGTGGAGGCGAAATTGCTTGTTTTGTCAGTGCACCACATACATAAACATATCGTCGCTCCACTGTCTCCTTCCAGTGGTTTCGGGGATGTATTGAAGAAACCTTCCAGTGATATCGTACGCCAGGCCCTCGGGTAGAATCCGAATAGGAAGCGACGGACGACAAGGGTCATCAATGTCACGGTGATATAAAGATCATATTACAAGAAGGAGGGGGAAATGATGGAGGTTGGGCAATAAACGAGTTAGCCAGATGAAGAAGATGACAGAAAAAAGGACAAAGTGGAAATGTGTTGTTGAAACCCTATGTTGGAACCCAATGGATTTGGTATTTCATGGTGGATTTAATCATGAGCTGACATCAGTTAGAGAACCACTGGTAAACCGACTGGGAGCACTGGACAGCTGTTTCGTCAGCCTAGTTTGGGACTCCTCAGCAGTACTCACCCACCGGGGTTCGAACCCAGGACCACGTTCTGGTTACAAGGCGAGCTCGTAGATCATTGAGCCACTGGGACCCGATCCAATGGTTCTTGAATTCTAACTTCTGCCAGTTCACGACAAAGCGCGACCACTTCCTAATGTCTTCCTCGATGAGTTATTGCCCCATCTTCGACCTGCTGTACCCCACTGGTCTTGGTATTTGTAATGGAAGTGAATTCATACACAAATAATTACAAAAAAACAATTGTGGACAATGATGATAATAATATGAGTAGGCAAGTTTGTCATTTTATTTGAGGATATAGTCTCACATTTTAATGAAATTACTGGCAAAAGTAAGCGATGTAATGTTTTCCCCTCTTGTGATGTTAATGCTCTTAATCTGTCTTTTTTACGCTCTCCTTCTACTATAACCACTTCTAACGTTACCAATCTTGTAGCTGATAACTTCCAGGACTTCAATACTCTCGATGTTTTGAAATGTCTTAAAACTCTTAAGCCCTCACATAGTCTTGGCCCTGATAGCATACCTGCATATGTTCTAAAACAATGTGCAGATGCTTTATGTTCTCCTCTAACTAATATACTAAATGCTTCTTTCTCCGAAAACGTTGTACCTGTTCCATGGAAAGACATTAAAATAGTCCCTGTCCCTAAACCTGGAAATAGCAAGAACGTAAAGTTCAGACCCATCGCCATCACTTCCCCGTTTCTAAAGCTCATGGAAAAACTAGTACTTCTTAAACTCGAACCCTCCCTTAAAAGCTTCGAAGACCCCAAACAATTTGCCTACAGACAGGGTAGGAGTACTTTAGACGCTGCAGCCGTCTTACACAACAGTATTATCTCATCATTAGACAAAGGTGCCAAATATGTCCGCTGCACGTTTCTTGACTTTACTTCTGCTTTCGACTCTGTACCTAGAAGTCTCTTGCTAAATAAGCTCTCCATGACACAAACCGAGTCCTGGGTCACTAACTGGTTGCATTCCTACTTTTCAAACAGAATGCAGTACACCGTATACAAAGGCCAATCCTCCTCTGCTGTGCTCACAGAAGCTGGTGTCCCCCAAGGTGCTGTACTCTCCCCACTTCTCTTTTCTTTCTTTCTACATGACCTACCGTCTTCAAATGACATTAACTTTGTCAAATATGCTGATGACCTAACTGTGTCTTTACCTGTCAAATGTCAAAGTGACTGCTCTAAACTAAATGGCTTCTTATCGGAAATTAGCCAATGGTCCAAGGAAAACGGTCTAACCTTAAACCCCTCCAAATGCCAAACAGTTAATTTCACCCTTAGGCATAAATCTGACCTAAACAAACTGGTTAGCACTCACGAGGTGTGCAACATAGATGGCAGTGAAATAGAAACCAAGTCGGAAATTAAATACCTAGGCGTCACTCTATCTTCTGATCTTTCCTGGTCGTCTCATATCTTGACGATTTCCAAGAAAATATACCGTCTTACCTTCTACATCAAGAAGTTAAGACATTCTGGTGTAACCCAACCCTTACTCCTACAATTTGTTAACTCCCGTATTCTGCCTATTATTCTCTATTGCTCCCCCTTAGTCTTTCCTGGGCTATTGAAGAAAGACTATACCTTATTACGTAGGATGTTAAAGGTTGTCAGCAGGGTAAGCAGCTTGCCACTTAGCCAGCTTGTTAATATTCTGGTGGACAGGACATGGACTCATGTGAAAAATGGGCGAAATCCATTTTATCTGACTCACAACACCCTCTACATTCACAACTCTCCCCATGTATCTCTTCAGGGAAAACAAGAAGCCTATATAGGAAACTATATGCCCGCACTAGTAAGTACAAAAACTCATCCATACCCTACTTAGCTCGTGTTCTGTGCGATAAAGAATGCATCAGGCATGAAACCTTTAACTTATTAAATAGTCAGTAGAACCAATGGATCTTGTCTTTCCAACTCACATCATTTATAGGTACAACGTTTTCTCTCTCTTCATTCTGTATTTATTTTTGTTATGTGCTGTTTTGTTTCTCTCTTCCTTGCAAACTCTACTTAAAACATTCTTGTTCGTTCTTTCACACTCTGTACATCTCGAACATTTTGCTATCGCTTACGCCAGTAAATATGCTAGTAGTATCTACTTTTCTAACACCTTCAAACACTTTAATTTTGGCTTTGCTACCGACATACTAATATGTTGTTGAGATAACTTTAAACTATGTAGAACTTTATTTATTGTTAATGTAAAAAACTGGATGCAATATTGTAGTAAAATGCTGAGAATTCCATTCTGTATCACAAGTACTGATTTGGAATAAAGCTTATCTTATGTTATGTTATGTTATATATTACAAATAGGAGATTTCATATAGAAGAGCAGATTATTTCGCTGACAACAGAGTCATTCATAAGTTTCACACTTAACAATGTCTCTATCGGATAGAACACGGGTTGGCCAAATATACGCCGAATCGTTGACTTCCTATACTTGGCAGTACGAACACATCATCTTTTGTGCGTCGGTGGCACAGTGGGGTTAGGAATCTCACTGACCATACACATGGTCTGAGGTTCTATCCCCCTGCCGACGCATACCTGATATCTATGGTCGGCCTGCTACATTTGGGCTACCGATATCCATGCAGAAAATTCCATACTTGTACCAAAAATACAGTGTGTAGCATCAAGCTGTAATCTAAAATAAAAGTAAATAATTCCAATTCTACCAGATGAGATACAACGAGGCGGATACAGTTGAGATCAAAAGGACTGGGTGTTGAAGGTCAAACAATATGGACTTAGACCGTTTCTCACGCATGACTTGTTCAGCTGTCTGTCAACTAATGTAGTAACTAGCTGACTGACTAAATTGCACACCACTTGCCATACTCACAATCTTTTATACTCTCACATTCTCAAAATGACATAATCCTTTTCGAGTTAGTAGCCAGGAAAAAAAGGACTAAGGTGGAGTGGGGTTTTGAACAGTTTAAGTACAATAGGCAGGATACTCGAATCAACAAACTAATAAACTTAAAAAAAGAGTTGAGTGATTACAGATTTGTTTTAGCTTCTTAATGCAGTAGCTTAGATCGAA